TTTGTCATTCTGTTTGTTACTTCAGTGGTTTACAGAAGTCAAGATAAGCATTTGTTTACACACAGATCTTAGTTATCCTGGGCTGCTTATTTTAGTTATTACCGGTAAGCAAAGGCTAGCAATTCTGGCACAATATCACACATACTGTAACGGGTGGCATTCTTTTAGGTGTTTGATCTTTACCTGCCTTCTTTTTCCGACAATCTCTGCGAAATGCCCAGGTTTACCACAATTGTAGCAGGTAGCTTTAGTCTGTAGGGCTGAGGCAAGGGCATTCGCAAAAACTGTGGCATGATGTTCAGGAGTCCCCACACCCACACAAGTGTGGATGTAGTCATCCAGGTCAGCCCCCTGCCACTTTAAAGGACTAAGACTGCGCCGGCATTCCTGATTTGCGTTTTCAAAAGCAAGAGACTGTAAAACAATTTTCGTGGCTTCGCCATGACCAATACCTTCAGTTACGGCGGTACGCAGCCGTGAAAGAAAATCGGTGTAAGGTTCGGAGGGTCCCTGCATTGTTTTGACGAAGGAAGGGGGCAATTTTCCACTGATTTCAATTTTTTGCCAAGCCTTTAAAAAAATATTTTTCACTTGCCCCAATGCAGCATCATCAAGACCTGGCTGCTGAGCAACAGTAGCATATCCCCCTTGGCCAGCGAGCTGATCATAAGTGGGCCCAGGGGGGTTAAGAGTTTCATTAAGCCTAGCCTGAACACGCGCCTCCTCAAGCCACCAACTGCGGAGCTGCAGCCACTGAGCCCCTTCCAGGACGGTTTTTCCAATTGCCTCCCAATCCGCAGGAATTAAAATATTTCCGGATGCAAATGAGTCCAAAAGTCCCAAAACAAAGGGAGATTGGGGGCCATATTGAGACACAGCGGCCTTAAGTTCCTTTAAGATTTTATATTGTAAGGGGTTATAATGTACATTAACTCCGCCCTGAGGAAACTGAGCATTGGGCGGAAATCTCTGCCGCTGGATAGGGAAGACCAAAGGGGGATCCTCCTCATGCCATCCAGGGGGAATGGGAATATCTTCCGGAGGCTCTGGATACCCAAAGGCAAACTGTAGGGGGCCAATTTCAGGAGGGCCTCCAGGGGCTGCCGCTGCAGTTGGAGGAGGTGGCGGGGCAAAGGCCGGAAAGGCAGAAAATTGAGGAGGCCCTACCTACCATCCAACCTTTTAAAGGAGGAGAGGGCGGTGGCGGAGGAGCAGAGGGCTTCACAGGAGCAGAAAAGGAGGAGGCCAAAGGACTTTTCAATAGCTGTTTCATAAGATTGATAAGCTGCTCCGTTTTTGTTACCTCATACTCCCCTTCCGACTCAGAGGACGTAGCATCCTCCTCTTCAGGAGGGTCACATCTATCGCCCTCTCCTGTATCAGAGACCGGATCATAAATGGGTTCGGGCAGCTCGTCGGAGGCAGAAGCAGCAGCGGCCTTATCGGCCACTGGCGCAGTAGCGGACCCTTCATCACTAGAAGTTTCCAACAATCGGAGGGCCTGAGTGATAGCACTACACAGTGTCCGCAGTTTCAGACTCATAGTGTCCCCCCTTGATGGCTTTGACGCAGGACCCTCACTACCCGCTTCCACTCCCTCATATTCAGCTGCACCTTATGCTGACAAGCAAACCAATAACACTTAGTATGAATATGATCAAATAATTGTTTTAAAGATTTATCTGAGACTTCCGCTCCTATAGAGTAGAGCAATCCTTTTAATAGTTTGCAATATTCCTTTTCCAAGGATGGGGAATTCCCCATGATTTTCCCGAAAGTTCCCCTTGTATTTGTGAACTCCGAATGCCGGGGACTTACCCTTTCGGTTTCGCTCGCTTCTTTCTCTTCCGCAAACTGCAGTGCCGGACCCTGCTCGCTGCGCCGCTTGCTGCGGCCCGGAGAATTCGCGGAGAGGAACTGCGAAATGAACAAAGAACACACAAACATAGACAAGACAGGACAAGACTGCAGCCCTGAGAGGCTGTGTTTCTTTATTTTTATAGTCGCAGCAATGGCCTGGTTCCAGATTCTAAATTAGATTCCAAACTGTTCCCTCCTTGTTATTTCCTTATTATGCTGTCTCAAGGGTCATAAGAGTGCAGAGAGCACACACACACAAAGACAGCAGAAGAACACAATGTCCTTCCTGTTTGCAGGCAGGGACAAGGGACAAGCTTGTGTGCAAAACATGTTCCCAATTATCTGAAGAACATCTGCATGCAGAGTGTTCCCAGAACTCTTATGACCTAATGCGGAGAGTCCTCAGGCGACCTCATCTGTTTGCAGACTAAGGACACGGACTCCTACAGACTTATTTATTTATTCATTGATTCAACACATATTTATTGAGTTCTTACAATGTGCCAATCGCTGGGGACACAACAGTGAACAAAATTTGTCCCTACGATGGTCAGAGTATTGTAGGGGAGACGAGCTCCTCACCTCCCTCCTCAACTCCTCCTCCTTCCCTCAATGGGAAGAGGTGTTGCCTTTGATGGGGGATGGGTGGTGTGTTAGATTATTTTATTGTTCCATTCACTGCCTCCCTATAGGATGATATAGGTCCCTGACTGTCGCCATGAGGCTTGGGATGCTCCTGTGGGAGGGGATGCATTCTTACCCCAAGGAGGCAACTTGTGACTTGCATTGCTCTGTGTTGAGTGGCTATGCCATGTGCCCCTGCAGAGCAGATCCAAGCCTCAGCTCATTGCAACCTCCGCCTCCCGGCTCTCCCTTCCGCCTGACCCACAGCCACTACTACCAACATGTATGTACGTGAAAATAAACCTTTAGGCCGGGCGCAGTGGCTCACATCTGTAATCCCAACACTTTGGGAGGCCGAGGCGGGCGGATCACTTGAGGTGAGGAGTTCAAGATCAGCTTAGCCAACATGATGAAACCTCATCTCTACTAAAAAAATAAATACATAAAAATGAAAAAATTAGCTGGGCAAGATGGTGTGTGCCTGTGGTCTCAGCTACTCGGGAGGCTGAGGCAGGAGGATCGCTTGAACCCAGGAGACGGAGGTTGCGGTGATCCGAGATGGCAGCACCACTGCACTCCAGCCTGGGCAACAGAGTGAGACTCTGTCTCAAACAAAACAAAACAAACAAACAAACAAACAAACAAACCGCTTATTGCTGCAAGCCACTGGAACTTCAGGGGTCTTTGTTACTGAGATAAACACGGTGACAGCCCTCCAAAGTAGGGAGTGAGTGGTGGCCAGAGCCACAGCAAGTAACTTGTTGTCCCTGTAACCTCGGAACCAGCCTAATCTGGTTCAACTTTGTGGAATAAAACGGTGAGATGTTTTTCAGTTGCCACTGACCCCCAGGTTGAAGTTCACATATGGTGAGCAGGCACAGATGAGCCAAATACGCAACCGTAGGTGGAACTTAAGAAGCAGGTAACCAATTAAGTTAACCAATTAAGAAGCAGTCTGGCGTCCACTTCTTAATTGTCCCAGACCAAGGAATGGGACAATTAAGAAGTGGACACCAGGCTGGTCATGGTGGCTTGTGCCTGTCATCTCAGCACTTTGGGAGGCTGAGGCAGGACGATCACTTGAGTGTCTAGTTCAAGACCAGGTCCCGGGTGGCCGTGCCCATCCTCTTGGTCCGGGCTTCCTGGACTCCCTGTCCTCGGACTCCGACGCCTTGCTCTCCGTGTACTCAGACCCTGCTGCTACTGCAGCCTCCTTTCCCGGCATTACATCCTCGCTGGCAGCCCCAAAGCTGCATTGTTCCTTGCCTGCCTTTGGCATATTTGAATTTCCTGCCTTCCCACACTTTTCCTCCTTCCCTCTTCCCCAAGTGGTGCTCCCGGCTGCAGCCCGGCCTGAACCGCCAGGTGCGCGCCACCAGCTTCCAGAGACTTGCCTCGCTCTTTTTGTCCTTTTTGTCTCTTTTAATCCTTGCCCCAGCCCCTGAGGAGGCCAGGCTCAGCCGTCCTTCCCTGGGGAGGGGATCTGGCTGTGCCAAGGTGGAAATGACTCCAGAAGGTTCCTGTCGTCTCGGGCCTTCCCCAGGACCAATGTTCTTGAACAAGACAGACAAGACCTTCGAGACGGCATCTTTTTTTTTTTTTTTATTGAGATGGAGTCTCACTCTGTCACCCAGGCTGGAGTGCATTGGCACGATCTAGGTTCATTGCAACCTCTGCCTCCCAGGTTCAAGCAATTCCCCTGCCTCAACCTCCTGAGTAGCCTCCTGAGTGCACCACCATGCCCAGCTAATTTTTGTATTTTTAGTAGAGATGGCGTTTCACCATATTGGTCAGGCTTGTCTTGAACTCCTAACCTCATGATCCGCCTGCTTCGGCCTCCCGAGGTGCTGGGATTACAGGTGTGAGCCACCGTGCTGGGCCATCTTCTTGTTCCTCCAGCCCAGAGAGTCAATCACAGAAGCAATTCCCTTCCCATCCTCTCCCCTTCCCTTTTTTTCCTTGAGACTGAGTCTTGCTCTGTCACCCAGGCTGGAGTGCAATGGCACCATCTTGGCTCACTGCAAACTCTGCCTCCCAGGCTCAAGCGATTCTCCTGCCTCAGCCTCCCAAGTAGCTGGGATTACAGGCGCCCACCACCATGCCTGGCTAATTTCAGGTATGTCTCTGGTGGCCAGAAGAGCCACCATGTGGGAGTGGCTGCTCCTGCCTTCTTTGACAGTCAAGTGCATCAAATCGGAGACCTTTTCTTTTCCTCTTTTGAGACGGAATCTCACTCTGTCACCCAGGCTGGAGTGCAGTGGTGCAATCTCGGCTCACTGCAACCTCTGCCTCCCGGGTTCAAGCAATTCTCTGCCTCAGCCTCCCGAGTAGCTGGGACTACAGCAATGCACTACCACGCCCAGCTAACTTTTGTATTTTTAGTAGAGACAGGGTTTCACCATCTGGGCTAGGCTGGTCTTGAACTCCTGACCTCGTGATCTACACGTCTCAGACTCCCAAAGTGCTGGGATTACAGGCCTGCGCCACCGCGACCGGCCGATCAGTGGCCTTTCCTCCATCTCCTCCTGTTGGGCTTTGTCTGTCCTGGTCACCAGGGCCAAGAACTCCATGGGACCGTCCGCCTCGTCCTTGTAGCTTCAGAAGGCCCACTTCTTGTGAACTTGCCCTCCGACTGCTGCCTGGAGTGTTGGGTACACCTGCTGTCATTGTCATCTCTGCTCAAGCCCCCTCATCTGCCTCCTCGATCTTGATGTCCAAGCTCTCCTGAGAAACTTCCTCGGATTCCTTCTTTGCCAGGGGAAATGGACACGTCCTTCGGGCCCTCTTTTAGCTTCTGGCTCAATTTCTGTGACCCCTCCTCTTCTTGCTACTATTCTTGTAGCCCCGGGAGGGTGGACACTTTTCTTGATGACTGTCCTGACCCCTGGGCCTGGGCCTCCGAAGTGGGAGGGGTGGGCGGCCCCCCCCAGGGGCCCGTCATCCAGCAGCAGGCGTCTCATCTGCCTCAGGACCCTCGTGTCCTGCGCACGGTCCTTCCACAGAACCCTCCAGACCCCATCCTTGCCCGGGATCTCCCTGGGAATGGCAGCGTGATTGACGTCCTCCACAAACTCCACCAGGGCAGCCTGGGCCTTCTCGTTCGTCAAGGCCTTCATGCGTCGCAGTCTGAACGTGCCCAGGGGCAGGAGGGAGGGCTGCAGGGCGGCTTCGACGTGCGCCTGCTCCAGGCCCTCCGGGATGCCGGTGACCAGCAGGGCCCTGTGCGCGTCCACGTCCAGGCCCCGGCACCAGTCCTGCAGAAGGCTCATGGCCATGGTGCGGCCCACTGGACGCTGATCTTGGGGCAGGAAGGAGCCTGAGATGGGGTGGGCTGCAGTGCAGAGTCAATGCCACCCTGGAAAGCCACCCTCAGGGCTTACAGTCCCGGTTCCGGTGAATGTGGCAAGGCTGGAGTGGGGCTCGGGGCTCCTAGTTGCCTGCTAGCCGGCTGGACACAGTGACATTCCTCCGGGACCCCTCCCCAGAGCTGACTGAGGATCTGCAGGAGACTACGGATCTGTTCTCCATGGATGCACGTGGATCCCTTTGAGAGCAGCGGCTCGTCTCAGAGCTACCAGATGAGGAAACACCTCCCACTCCAGCCACGTGGGGACACCCCCTCCCCATTACCCCTTAATCCTGATGGTTCCTCTGTGCCCCATCAGCCAGGGCAGCAGGCCTGGGCTCTGGCAGGGGCCTGTCTCTCCCTCCTCCATTGGCTCCCGCTGTTTCCATGGCAACGGTTTTCAGGCTGCTGCAGGGACTGACCGTTTTTTGTTTTAAGAAGCCCACTGAAAAGGAGAATATGCATCTTGTTTGCTTATTGAGGTCTTTCATGACTTGGGGAGATAGGCCTCACACAGAGAGCTAGGCTTGGTCGGTGGGACGGGGCCTCCTCTGGGGCTCCAGGTCTTGGGTCAGTTTGATGTTTAGGGCCCAGGGTGGGCCAGGTGAAACAGGCTGAGTGAAGGTTGTGCTGTGGGCTGGGCCTGATGCAGGGACACAGATTCTATCCAGGTTAAAAAAAAAACAAAACCCCGTCTATAATCCCAGCACTTTGGGAGGCCAATGCGGGCAGATCACTTGATGTCAGGAGTTCGAGACCTGCCTGACCAACATGATGAAACCCTGTCTCTACTAAAAATACAAAATTAGCCAGGTGTGATGGCATGTGCCTGTAATCCCAGCTACTCAGGAGGCTGAGGCAGGAGAATCTCTTGGACCTGGGAGGTAGAAGTTGCAGTGAGCCAAGATTGCACCATTGCACTCCAGCCTGGGTGACAAAAGCAAAACTCCATCTCAAAAACAAAAACAAGCAAAAAAATCACAACCGGAGAAGCATGGTGGCTGACACCTGTAATCCCAGCACTTTGGGACATCGAGGCAGGTGGATCACTTGAGGTCATGAGTTTGAGAGCAGCCTGGCCAACATGGTGTAATCCTGTTTCTACTGAAAATACAAAAATTAGCCAGACATGATGGTGCACACCTGTTAGGAGGCTGAGGCAAGAGAATTGCTTGAACGTGAGACGCAGAAGTTGCAATGAGTCGAGATCATGCCACTGCCATCCAGCCTGGGTGACAGAGCAAGACTCTGTCTCAAAAAAACAAAAAATGAGGCTGGGCGTGGTGGCTCATGCCTGTAATCCCAGCACTTTGGGAGGCCAAGGGGGGCGGATCGCCTGAGGTCAGGAGTTTGAGACCAGCCTGGCCAACATGGTGAAACCCTGTCTCTACTAAAAATACAAAATTAGCCAGGTGTGATGGCATGTGCCTGTAATCCCAGCTACTCAGGAGGCTGAGGCAGGAGAATCTCTTGGACCTGGGAGGTAGAGGTTGCAGTGAGCCAAGATCGTGCCACCTCACTCCCGCCTGGGTGACAGAGCGAGACAAAAAAATGAAAAATCACGACCTTTGGGCAGCAAGTGCCACCATGACCCTGCTGGGCCTGCTGTGTAGCGGAAAGTAGGCAGCTTGCTCAGAGGTGAGGACTTGCTGGTGGAGGGGGGCGTCTTTGGGCTTCAGGAAGAGCCCCTAGGACACCTGCAAATGATCATGTCATGACACCAGGAGGTCCCTTTCATGTCTTGCTAACTGTCCCACCAGCACCCCAGGTGTGGTCCCAGTATGTTCCTGGGCCGCACCGGTGTCTGGGAACACTGTCATGGTGAGCCAAGCCCCAGGCCCTAGGATGAGCCTCAGGTGAGACACTCACTTCGCACTTCTTCCACCTGGGCAAAATAACAAGGAGAAAATCAGCTGTTTCTTATCATCAGCCCATCCCATGGCTAAGCTGCTGGTCTGCCGTCTGTGTGAGCTTGGGTCTGTCCTGCACATGCAGGGGCTGAGAATATGCTTGCCAGACAGGTCTGCTCCAGGGACGGTGATATCATCTCTGCCAGGCGCCTGTCATCTTGTTCCCTGCTGACAAGTGACCCAGAGCCCCAGGAGCAAGGTAAAAAGACTCAGGAACATGGAAAATGATGGTGCCAGCTCTAAAAACTCTGGAAGGCCCTTTCCCTGTCCGCCTGACTCCTGGGCCAGCATTTGGAACCAGATGTACTCTCTGGCAGGGCACTGAGAAGCCCCCCACCCTCCTTCACTTGGGGGCTTGGAGAATGTTTTGAGGAGCGGGATGTACAGGAATCTTTAGGTTCTAAATACAGAAACCCAAGTTAGCTTTGTTTAAGCAGGTTAGTGAAAAAGGAATTCATTGGCTCATGTTACTAAAGTCCAGGATCTGAACTGGCTTCAGGCATGGCTGGTTCTGGGGCTCCTTCATTCATTAATTTAGCCTGGGGATAGGGTGAGCTCTGTAGGAGTCACCTGGAGGGAGAGTGGGGAGGGGGTTTCCCAGAGAGAAACGGAGGTGAATTACTCAGGAGAGAGGAGTGGACTCTGGACTGGAGAGCAGGAGAATCTGCCCTAAAAGCATGATGGCATTAGTGAGACTCACTGTGCCCGGATCAGGGAGGGACTGAAGGGAGTGTGGGACCCTTTCCAGGAGCCCTGGGGCCTTGGCTTCCAACGGACTCCTGGCAGCACCCCTGGCAGCCTCAACAGGATGAATTTCCAGGTCCTGGGAGCCTGAGCACACACCCTTGGCTAGCAGGTCTGGAATCTCCTCTTCTTGGCTGTGGGTCTTTGTTAGAGAATGTCTCAATTTCTGGCTGGGGGAGAGGGAGAGGCTGTCACTCATCCAGTGCTCACTTGTTCAACCCCGTAGGCTGATCTTTCCTTCCTTCTTTCCCTTCCTCCCTCCTTTCTCTTTCTTTCTTTGTTTCCTCCCTCCCTTCTTTCTCTCTCTCTCCCTTTCCCTCTCCTTTCCTTCCTTTTTCTATTTCTTTCCTTTATCTCGCCTTCCTTCCTTCCTTCCCCTCCCTCCCTTCTCTCTTTCCTTCCTTCCTTTTTTCCCTTCCTCCCTTCCTTCCTTCCTTCTCTCTCTCTCTTTCCCTTTCCCTCCCTCTTTCTTTATTTTTCCCCCTTCCCCTTTCCCTTCCCTTCTTCTTTCTTTTCTGGGGACGCCGAGATGACTGAAGCCCTGCCTCCTGGAGCACAGGGAAAGCCTGGATACTTAGGGGAGGAGGGTTGGAAGAGCTGGAGCTAACTCTGGATCAGGGCAAGCTTCTCAGAGGAGGTGATTATTTGTGCGAGGTGAGGGTAGGGAAAGGGAAGAGGTGCTTTTGAGGCAGCCAGTGGGCTAAGATCCCAGTGACTAAATGGAGAACAGGATGTTTAAGGAGCTGGGGGTGGAAGGGTGTGTCTGGGCAGCAGGATTGGGGTTGGGTAGGAGGTGGCAGGGCCAGGTGCAGAGGGTCTTGTGGGTCGGTCCGTCACCAAGGCCAGAGCTGGAAGCTTCTCTGCAGCTTATGTGCTGTGTGATGCTGGGAAAGTTAAACGACCTCTCTGAACCTCACTTTCCTCATTTACAAGCTACTCTCAGAGTTGCGGTGTTGAGTTAGGCACACGGAGGATTTAGCACAGGTACTGGTCACCATAGGGCTTTAAGTATCGATTATTGGTGTCAATCCTTGTTTTCCTAATTCCCTTTTGTGTGTAAACGGGCTGTTGCTGTATGAGGAATTTGCTGGGTCAGGGCGCCGTCTGGTGGGCATGGGGAGCCAGTTCAGGGAGAAAAATGGAACTAGAGGTTTTGGTTTTAAAGGGCATCACCCTCCCTCCCCCTCTTCCTCCCTCCCTCCCTCCCTCCCCCACTCCCTCCCTCCAGTGCATTCATCAGGGTCTGATCCTGCCTAGATAGGGACTGAAGCAACTCAGGCCCTACCTTCCCGGGGGTTTACAGCCCGGTAGGGGGAGACTCAGGAACCCCACCTGAGTAGAGCTTAACACTGCAGAGAGGATGGGACTGTGGGATACAGGGCTTCATAGGAGCCCAACTTGTTCCTGGGGCACTGGGGAGCCACAGAAAGCTTTAGAGTGAGGGAGAAGCAGGGTCAAGTTTGCGATGTCATGTGGATGAATGGGACAGGTGAGGCTGGGGCTGGACCCAACAAGGAGGCTGCAGAAGGGGTGGGTTGGGGTGGCGGAAGGTGTGCAGGGTGTGGGAGGGGAACGTTGGGGCAAAGTTCAGGACCCTGGCTCACTCCTAGTTTGGGAGAGGGGTTTCTTTCTCTCACCCTCGGGGGTCATCCCCAGCCAGATGGTCCGCTGGGAGCTGCCAGCCACTCATCTCCTGGCCAGGCCCAGGCCTGGAGCCCTATGTCCCACACAGAGCTCCGTAGGTCCCCTTCAGCCTAGAGGGTTATGGCTCCCAGCCCCCCAGGGTGGGTCCTGCCGCCGGTGGACCCTGGTGGGCCTGAGGGAGAATCTGGTGGGCCTCCTGGGTGGGCTCTGTCCCCGAATGGTCAGAAACAACCTTTCAGCTCTCACAGTGGGGTGAGAGAGTGGAAAGAGGTGGGGGATGGTGGGTCTCTGGACACATGCCAGGGTTCTCTCTAGGAGGTCAATAGTTTTGACCTTCAGGCAGAAAGAACCCCGTGGGAAAGTCCCAGAGGTGAGCCGAGCCTGGCTCGGAGGTGGTGAACGTGGAGGGCTGCAGCGTGGGGGGCGGGAGGAGGTTGTGATGAGGCTGTCGGGAGCAGATCACACAGGGCTGTTGGGAGATGCAGGACTTTCTGCGGGAGGCTCTGGGGGAGCCCTGGGAGGTTCTGAGTAGGGAAAAGAAGGGTCAGGTTTGTGCCTTAGGAACTCCTCTGGAGGGGCAGGACGGGAGGCTGTGAGGTCAGGTGGAGACTGAGGCCGGAACCTGGGCAGGAGAGGCCAGGCCAGGGCTGGGTGGGACTGGAGGGTGAGAAGGGAGTGGCTGCATCTGAGAGATGCTCAGGAGGCTGACTTGGCTGAAGAAGTGAAATGACTGCTGAGCTTTGGGGGTTGAGTCCAGTTCGAGGCTCAGTGTCAGCTGGGTGAAGCAGTGGAAGGTAGACTTCCCTGGGATGGGAGCAGCCTGCATGGGGGTTGCTGCTGAGGTCAGGTCAGAATTCTGGGCCACAGCAGCCGCTGGGAGGAGCCCGTTGCCCCCCAGGACCTGGGATCCAGGCTCTCAGGAGTCCTGGGGCTGGGCAGCAGCCAGAGGGGCCTGGCACTGAGCTGGTGGAGGAGAACGGCCCTGCTGGCCCAGGCCCCTCCTGTCTGGCAGGCAGTAGCAGGCACAGAGCCCCAGGCTCCAGGGCTTTGGGAATAACAATAAAAAGAATAATTACAGCTCACCTTGGACAGGTGCAGTGGCACGTGCCTGGAATCCTAGTACTTTGGGAGGCTGAGGTGGGCAGATCACTTGAGGTCTGGAGTTTGAGACCAGCCTGGCCAACATGGTGAAACCCCATCTCTGCTAAAAATAGGAAAATTTGCTGGGTGTGGTGGTGGGCACCCATAATCCCAGCCACTCGGGAGGCTGAAGCAGGAGGAATCACTTGAACTCAGAAGATGGAGGTTGCAGTGAGCCAAGATTGTGCCACTGCACTCCAGCCCGAGTGACAGAGTGAGGCTCCATCTCAAAATAATAATAATATTTTGGGAGGCCAAGGCGGGTGGATCATGAGGTCAGGAGTTCGAGACCAGCCTGGCCGAGATGGTGAAACATTGTCTCTACTAAAAATACAAAAATTAGCTGGGCGTGGTGGCATGTGCTTGTAATCTCAGCTTCTCGGGAGGCTGAGGCAGAGAATTGCTTGAACCCAGGAGGTGGAGATTGCTGTAAGCTGAGATCTTGCCACTGCATTCCAGCCTGGGTGACAGAGCGAGAATCCATCTCAAAATATAGTAATAATAATAATTACAGCTCACCTGAAGTGAGCCCTCCGGTGCCCAGGTACGCCATGGGGTTTCACCTCCCAGGGGGCTGGGAGATGGCCAGGAGCGGCCCTGTTGGTTTCATAGAGGAAGTATATTGATCAGAGTTCTCCAAAGAGACAGAATCAACAGGATAAGTGTAGAGAGAGACAGTAAAAGGGGTTTATTGGACAATTAGCTCCATAAGGCTGAGAAGTCCCGAGGCTGTCTGCAGGCTGGAGACCCTGGGATGCAGGGGGCATGGCTCAGGCCAAGTCCGAAGGCCTCAGAAGCCAAGGGTGTCATTCTCAATTTGAGGCCAAAGGCCTGGGAATCTGACAGACTGCTGGCGTAAGGCCTGGAGTGTTGCAGCCTGTGCTGGTTCCCACGGGGGACCTGGAGCTGAGCCTGTGGTCCTCAGACCGGCAGACGTTTGATTTTAGTGTCGTTGTAGCTAAGGTCAATGGAGTGTGCCTGTGTGACCAGCTTCGCTATGTACAGTTTTGGGGTGCAGAGACCAAGGCTTGGAGGTTAATTAAACATGTCCAGGGTTGCATGGCCAGCACCTGGCAGCCTGGGCGGTCTGACTTCAGCGTTCATGGAACCCAGGGCTGGGCAGCCTCTGTGCCCCCACCTCGGCCTCACCGTGCACACCCCTTCCCTCCCACCCAGGTGGTCAAGGTGAAGCCCCACGACAAGGACGCCGAAATGAAATACCAGGAGTGCAACAAGATCGTGAAGCAGAAGGCCTTTGAGCAGGCCATTGCGGGCGACGAGCACAAGCGCTCCGTGGTGGACTCCCTGGACATCGAGAGCATGAGTAAGTCGGGCCCAGGCGCCCTGTGCTCCAGCCCAGAGCATTCCACATGGGCGCGCTCTATTCCCTGGGGTGGGAGTGGGCTCGGGGGTAGCCCCTTGTTCTGTCCCCAGGCTGCTGTCTGTCGCTTCTCTGCCTGTGTTCCAGGGCGCTCCATCCGCAGCCTGAAGCTGGGCCTCACGCTTCCCAGTGGGCGAGATCAGGAGTTGTAACACCCCCTCAATATGGCTTGGCTGTGTCCCAACCCAAATCTCACCTTGAATTGTAGCTCCCATAATTCCTACATGTCGTGGGAGGGACCGGGTCAGAGATAATTGAATCCTGGGGGCGGTTTCCCTCGTACTGCACTCCTGCTAGTGAATAAGTCTCACGAGATCTGATGACTTTATGAGAAGAAGCCCCTTTTCTTGGCTCTCACTCAGCAGCCACTCATGCAACCAGCAATACCCATCTGGATTAGACAACTTGGAAAACCTAAGGACCCTACCACGCATGTCTAAGATGACCGTGCGGCTACCAACAATGACCGTACACCCATCTGTCCCAGCCAGTGGTGCTCCCTGAAAGTCATGCTGTACTATCTCATTATCTCCTCAGCTTGCTCTGTCAAAAGGGGAAAGTTGTTAAAATAAAATGGGGGAGCCAGGCGCAGCGGCTCACACCTGTGATCCCAACACTTTGGGAGGCCAAATTGGAAGGATCCTTGAGCCCAGGAGTTTGAGACCAGCCTGGGCAACATGGCAAGACTCAATCTCTACAAAAAAAAAAAAAAAAAATTAGCTTCACAAAGTGGCGCATGTGCATGCCGGTGTTCCCAGCTAGTTGGGAGGCTGAGGCAGGAGGATCACCTGAGCCCAGGAGGTTGTGGCTGCAGTGAGCTGTGATCATGCCATGTCACTCCAGCCTGAGCAACAGAGTGAGACCCTGTTTCACACACACACACAGAAGCAGCGGGGTGGACCAGGACTGAGAATTCCCCCGGCAGACAGAATCAGGCCACATAAGCAACACCTAATGCACTTTGACTTTTGAATATAAGCGAAACTTAACTTAGGTTCGTCCTTCCTTTCCTTCCTCCCTCCCTCCCTCCCTTTCTCTCCCTCCCTCCCTCCCTCCCTTTCTCTCTCTCCCTCTCCTTCTTTCCTCCTTTTCTCTCTTAATTCCTTCCTCCCTTCCTTTCTTTTTTTCTTCTTTTTTTGAGATAGACTCTCATTCTGTTTCCTAGGCTGGAGTACAGTGGCACAATCTCAGCTCACTGCAGACTCCATCCCCTGTTTTAAGCAATTCTTGTGCCTCGGCCTCCTGAGTAGCTGGGATTACAGGCACGTGCCATGACACCCGGTTATTTTTTGTTTGTTTTTGTTTTTGTTTTTTGAGTAGAGACAGGGTTTCGCCATGTTGCTCAGGCTGGTCTCAAACTCCTGACCTCAAGTGATCTGCCTGTCTCATTCTTCCAAAGTGCTGGGATTACAGACATGAGCTACCATGCCCAGCCAATTTAGGTTATTTCTTTTTTTTTTTTTTTTTTTTTTGAGACAGAGTTTCACTCTTGTTACCCAGGCTGGAGTGCAATGGCGCGATCTCGGCGCACCGCAACCTCCGCCTCCTGGGTTCAGGCAATTCTCCTGCCTCAGCCTCCTGAGTAGCTGGGATTACAGGCACGCGCCACCATGCCCAGCTAATTTTTTGTAGTTTTAGTAGAGACAGGGTTTCACCGTGTTGACCAGGATGGTCTCGATCTCTTGACCTCGTGATCCACCCGCCTTGGCCTCCCACAGTGCTGGGATTACAGGCGTGAGCCACTGTGCCCAGCTGTCTGTGTTAGTTTTCTAGAGCTGCTGTAATAAATTCTCACAAACTTGGTGGCTAAAAATAACAGAAGCTTATTTTCTCGCAGTTCCAGAGGCCAGATGTTCAAAACAAAGATCCCAGCAGGGCCCCGTCGGCTCTGAAGGTTCTAAGGAGAGTCCTTTCTTGCCTCCTCCATATTCTGGTGGCTCTTGGTGTCTGTTAGTGCCAGTCTCTGGCCTTCTCCTCTTCTCTGTGTCTTTTCTTCTGCTATGCCTTTTGTTGGGGGTGGGGAACAGAGTATTGCTCCATTGTCCAGGCTGGAGGGCAGTGGCATGACCTCGGCTCACTGCAGCCTCTCCCTCCCAGGCTGAAGTGATTCTGTCGCCTCAGCCTTCCGAGCAGCTAGTATTAGAGGCATGTGCCACCATGCCCGGCTAATTTTTGTATTTTTAGTAGAGGCAGGGTTTCACCATGTTGGCCAAGCTGGTCTCGAACTCCTGCCCTCAAGTGATCCACCTGCCTCCACCTCCCGAAGTACTGGGATTACAGGTTTGAACCACTGTGCCCAGCCTTCTGCTGTGTCTTAATAGGACATTTGTCATTGTGATCTAGGAGGCAGGGCTTGACTCTGGAGGCAGGACCCTGACACCGGACTAAATAGAGAACTAGCTAAAGCAGACAGGGCAGAAGCAGCTTTGGGTAAGCCATGCCCGACAGTGCCATGTCAGTTTACCATTGCCATGACAACATCCAGAAGTTACCACCACTTTCCACAGCAGCCACCCAGTGACCTGGAAGTTGCTACTCTTGTCCTAGAAATTTCTGCATAATCTGCCCCTTAATTTGCACATAATTAAAAATGGGCATAAATATGACAGCAGCGCTGCCTCTGAGCTGCTCCTCTGGGCACACTGCCTCTCGGGCAGCCCTACGCTGCAAGGGGCAGTCCGTCTGCTGCTGCTGTGCACTGAGGGTCCAGTCAAAGTTGCTAACACTGCTGGCTTGCTCTTGAATTCTTTCAAGGGCAAAGCCAAGAACCTTCCTGTGCTAATCCCCAAGTTGGGGGCTCACCTGCCCTGCATCAATTAGATTTAGGACCTACACAGAGAATCCAGGATTATCTCATCTTGAGATCATTAAGTACACTTGCAAAGACCACTTTTTTTTTTTTTTTTTTTGAGAGACAGAGTCTTTCTCTGATGCCCAGGCTGGAGTGCAGTGGCACCATCTCTGCTCACTGCAACCTCTGCCTCCCTGGTTCAAGCAATTCTCCTGCCTCAGCCTCCAAGTAGCTCTGGGATTAAAGGTACCTGCCACCATGCCCAGCTTTTTTGTATTTTTAATAGAGACAGGGTTTCACCTCATTGGCCAGGCTGGTTTCAAACTCTTGACCTCCAGCGATCCACCCGCCTAGGCTTCCCAAAGTGCTGGGATCACAGGCATGAGCCACCATGCCTGGTGCAAAGACCCTTTTTGTAAATAAGGTCACACTCACAGGTTCCAGGGATTAGGATATGGATTGTATTTTTGAGCTCACTGTAACATACATGTCTATTACCATCTACATTTACATCCTTGCTATACGCAAATACACATCAATGTCTATATGTCTATGTCCTTATGACATTGATTTTCAGTTCCCAGTTGTATCTTTATTCTATCAACATCCATATCCATATCTGTATCCTTACCCACATCTGAATCTGTGTCTATGTAAAAAAAGATTATTAGTGTACAACCAAATAACAACGGGGACTATCATATTTCTGCTTGAAGAATTCTAGCTGATTATTATTTTCTTCATAATGGTTTTATAATGAATCCATATCTGAATTCTTTCTAGGAGCATATATTACTATTGTAATAAAATATAAGAAATTGGCTGCGTATGGTAGCTCATGCTTGTAATCCTAGCACTCTGGGAGGCTGAGGCGGTTAGATCATCTGAGTCAGGAATTTGAGACCAGCCTGGCCAACATGGCAAAACCCCATCTCTACTAAAAATATGAAAATTATCTGGGCGTGGTGGTGCACACAGAGGCCAAGGCAGGAGAATCACTTGAACTCGGGAGGGGGAGGTTGCAGTTAGCCAAGATTGTGCCATTGCACTCCAGCCTGGGCTACACAGCGAGACTGCATCTCAAAAAAAAAAAAAAAAGAAAAAGAAAAAGAAAAAAGAAAAGGACTCTGTTGCTATATTGGGGATTGTGGGAAAACTCTCACTCGGTCTAACACCGTGACATTGTCCTGTCATCTCAAGCCTCCTCCTCCTCTTCCCATGGTGGAGGCCTTATCCTGGGCCTTCCCTTCCCTCCCACATGGCTCGCTCGCCTGCAGCCCTCTTGTCTTCCCCATGTTTGCCCCAGCTAAAGCTCAGCACTCTAGAACACCAGCAGAGGTTTCTTTCCCAGATGGAAGGTGGATGTGCCTTTCCTCCTCTCTCGTAGGATGTTCTGTGGCCCCTGATGTTCTCAGCATAAACCCCCAATAGGCCCAAAAGGACTGATACAGTCTGACTTCACCTTTCCATAAACTCTTCAGCCCAATTCAGCCTTAATTCAAGAATTTGAGTTTCCTTTTTTTTCATTTAGAGACAGAGTCTCACTCTGTCGCCAAGACTGGAGTGCAGTGGCACAATCTTGGCTGACTGCAACCTCCGCCTCCCAGGTTTAAGCAATTCTCCCACCTCAGCATTCCAGATAGCTGGAATTACAGGTACCTGCCACCATGCCTGGCTAATTTTTGTATTTTTAGTAGAGACGGGGTTTCATCATGTTGGCCAAGGTTGGCCTCGAACCCCTGACCTCAAGTGATCTGCCCACCTCAGCCTCCCAAAGTGCTGGGATTACAGGTATGAGCCACCACACCCAGCCAGGTTTCATTTATTTCTATAGATTCTTGGTACAACCAACAAGTTTCCCATAATTTATTATATTATTTTAAAAAATACCTTTACCATCATAAAAAATAATACATATCTGGCATGATTTTTCTATAATACTCTAGGCATTATTATATAATATTCCAGGCAGTATTATGATTATTCTAGGCATACTAGAAAACACAGAAAGAAAGACACCGAGGTCAGCTGCCTTCAGAGGTGGCTGCCAACAATTCCTCCCTTCCCTTTACGCGCTCATCACTCCTCCCACCGCCAGGGCGTCTATTTCCCCACCTCTTGATCCTGGGCAGTCCTCATGACTTGTTTTGACCAATAGAATGCACCAGAGTGATGTGTCAATTTCAAGCCTAGGCCTTAAGAGGCCGGATGGCTCCCCCTGCTGCTCACTTGGATGCCAGCTGCCATCTTGCAAGGAAGCTAAAGCTGGGTTACCAAATAGTGAAGGCCCAGGTGAAGGCTGAGGGGCCGCGTGGGGGAGAACCAACCCACTACAGCTGACATTAGCCACACAAGTGACCAGGGAGAGACCAGCAGCTGAACCACCCTGTCAGCCCTCTGAATCCTAGTAAGTCATTGTTTGAAGCCACTAAACTCTGGTTGGTTGTGAACAACAGTATATGTCTGAAGCAGACGCCCCTGCCTTAAGCCCCCAGCCCAGAGAGCAGCCCTGCCAACCTGTTGGTGTAGGTCCTACCAGATTTGTTTCTTCCTGTAATAAAAAAATCCACATTTTTTTTTCCTATAATAAAAAAATTCCGCCAAATAAGACATCTTGGCTTATTTTTACATTTCAGGAAAGCTGTTCAGAATGATTTTATTAATAGTTCAGCTGCAGCAGGAAGAGGAAACAGACCAAAGCTTGCCTCTTCACCACGAGTCATGCTGAGCTCTTCATGGCTATGAACATCAAAGACCCAAATTTACACACTTTGCACATTTGTGCTGAGGTACTTTAGCCCTTTGTCCACAAGTCTCCACAGGCCCAGTGGGGAGGAA